TGAGTCATTATGCATCCTTTAGGTTTACAGGGTGATCCTGAGCACATTTACCAGAAGTAAGTTGCCCTAAAGTCACAATAACTTAACAGAAGCTGAATGCCGGTTTGCCCAGACATGAGTTTCACCATGGGATTTTGGACCAAAGTAAGGGCTAACTGTTCCAACAATTGCAACAATGCAACTGGGGCAGCTATTTTGCTCTAATTTCATGTATGTGTGGGAACGGTGGCACTTCAGGTGAATTCAAGCTAACTACCCTACCCCGCCATAAACACACACATAGTTTCCCCTTTTGAAATTCTACCAATTGGTTCCACTAGAAACTGTTTTTTCTCTCTCTTGCCCCCCTGCAGATATGGGGGAAAAGATTTAACCCTTGCATCCGGGTTGCCACAGTTCCACTCTAAAATGGGGCACCAAATGCTTCTGCAGAATAAGGAAACTGGGCAAGCATACCTAAACTTTTGGCCTTGCTACCAGGTAATGAGAGTACATAGGATTATGGCCTAAGATCCAACTAAATATTATGCAAAAAATTATGGATCTAAGCCAGTGATGGCAAACCTTTTAGAGACCGAGTGCCCAAACTGTAACTCAAAACCCACTTATTTATTGCAAAGTTTTATTGCAAATTATGTTGAAGAAATCCAGCTTTTGTGTACCATAAATATAAAATAATGGCCTGAAAAGAGGACTTGACAATACTCTTTTCAGCACCAGGCGAAGACCTACCTCTTTAAAAGATATTTTAATATCTATTAGTCGCTACCTTGCCCTCCAGTTGTATTAATTTAATGTAATTTTATTAGACTTTTATCTATATTATTTATGCCTTTGTTTTATTGTTTTAGTATGTATTTTAATTGTCTGATGTTAGTCGTCTAGAGAAGCCATGGGCGAAATAGGTGGCATATACATGTTTTAAATAAATAAATAAATTCCTGGGGGAGGAGTCTGTCAGTGGCTATTAGACCTCCTGTCTATAAGCAGGGACACATGGGCAGGGGGGCTCAGTTCCATTCACTTCCTGCTTGTGGAGTCCCTTTGGGCTTTTGGCTGGCCACTGTGTGAACAGAAAGCTGGACTACAGGGATCAGGTCTGATCTAGCATGGCTGTTCCTGCATCTCCACTTTCAGAGGAAGAAGCTTATGTGTCTGGGGAACATGGGTAAAAGGATGCCGTTCCACTCAGTGAGCTGGCCACTGTGAGAACAGCATGCTGGACCAGATGGACTTTTGCTCTGATCCAGCTGGGCTCTTCCTGCATCCTTACTTTAGGTTCTGCAGCTAATCACTAATGCCAGCTGCACTCATTTCGTTTAAGGAAACATTTTAGCCTTTGTCCCTAGAGTAATCCCTCATAATGAAAGAGTTCTCTTTTAAAAGCTTTTTGTTATAATTCCTTCAATTAAAGGTTAATTTTGATGTTTTCACTCCAGATGAAATCTTCAAGCATCTCTAATCACAACAGAGACAAAGAGCTGGATTCTCAGGAAAATGACCTGGTCCAAAGCCAGTTGCTAAATTGCCTCTCTGTCCGGTTTTCGTTTGTTTGTTTGTTTTTTTAAGTTATGGAGGGAGTTAAAAGTTAAATGTATCAAATGCCATCAGTAAATAAATCTAACTCAAATCCAAGGCTTGTATTCTCTGGTTTCAAAGGACTGCCAGGGGGCAGATAGGAGGCCAAGGGGACAAGCCTTCCCCAGCTGAATTCCATTTAGGGCAGCTCTCCAGGGCAGGATTCCAGTGGGTCATAGAGTCAAAGATGAAGTGGGCAGACCAGCCCCCTCCCCCGGGAGCCCCTTGTTACTAACATTTTAACAGAGAAGAAACTTAGGCAGGGCACACCTATGCTTCCTCAAGGCAAAACTCAGTACGATTCATTTCTACCCAGAAGCGAGCCACTGGACAGAGCAGGCATGTCTACTTGGAAGAGAGCTACATTTTAAACTGCAAGCAAACCTCCCCACTCAGAATAACCTCCCCTGAAGCTGCTGGCAGTCTGGTTGGTTTGTTGGTTTGCCAGAAATCAACCCTGTAAGCAACATCCCAAGCCATGAAGTTGTAAAAACTGAGTAAAAGGGAAGAGGAAAGGGTGCAGCTTCAGGAAGGAAAGCAAGATCTGCAGGAGGACTGGAGATCTTGGCAGGTTGCTCTGGCCACTGATTTGAGATTCGCATCCCTGTTATAGACCAAGTCCCCTTTCCAGATTCCAAGAAGGTTCTGCACTGGGAATTCTTTTAAATGTCATCTTAGGTGCACAGCAGTCCCTTTCCTGCTAACAACTCTTGACATAGCTGCAGATGCACTTATATAGGGATGGATTAAATTTACAGTTTGCTTTCACTCAGTTTCTCATTTTTACAGCAGGATGTTCGTTTTGTCCTGTTTCTATAGCCGTTTGCGAATTTCCTTTTAACAATTCTATACACATGTTTGTATGCATTCACATGCCTATTTCTCCTTGTATGTACACTTTTTCCTAAAATGCACATTTTTTGCAAGCAAATTCCCATAGAATGGCACATTATCACATACATTCGTGTATGTACTTTTGCTTAATAGACTTACTTCTGTGTGCATTCCTTAGCTAGAGAACTGAATTGCAAAATTCTGATAAGTGCAAATATCTAAATATAGCTGTGTTTTCATTTATGAATTGGCACGGGAAGTGCATATCTGGTGTGTTCACCTTAATATGGAACCAGACAGAGTGGTGATAACAGAAGACCTAACCCCTTGCTACCACAATGGCGGTGTGATTTGCATGAGAAAAGAGCACATGATAGACCCTCACCCATGCGGTCAGGTAATTTTAATGTTACACTAGGAATTGCATATAGAAGAACAAGCCTGATGTAGCTACGGTGACACTAAACTCTCTTGTTCCTCATTGCCTCAAACAGCCCAGACATGGGGACTCTGCATGGGACTCTCTGCTTTCCACGCCATCATTACAGCCATTAAGCAAGAGAACATGAGGGACAAGACCTTGTAAGTGGTGAAATGTCCCTCCTATGAACATTTACTAAGCTTTCTCTTTGTGGCCTGTAGAGAAAGGATTTGCAATCTGACAGGATTTCAATGTATGCTTCTTAACAATACTGCCCTCTAGCCATCTGAAACAGACATACAGAGAGTAAGGTACTAGGATCCTGGTAGAGCCTGGGATTGCAAGTGGATGGAACCGTATGCAGCCCATCTGGAATATGTTCCTTTCCTGTGTTTGCCAGAACTGGACTTCCACTTCCTTAAAACAATGACGCCATTGTAAGAATTGTACTAAAAGATCCACAAAGAAAGAAGCACTGGTAGATCCATTGCTAATGTGAAACGTCACACTTGAGAAACTCTTCAAGGATTTCTGTTCCCTTTGAAGCAATTTGTTGAAACGGTGCCTCTCAGTTTCTTTGTGCAGAAATAGGGTGGAGAATTTGCATAAAATGTATCTACAATAGATGCAATATAGAGAACCATTGGCAAAGATATGACACAATTTTAAAAATTGAAAACAAGTTAAAACTCATAGGAAGAGTCACCTTTCCTAAATTACACTTACATTTAAGGTACCAGCTCAGTGTTCCAACTGTTTTGCTTGTAAACCACTACTATCAATGACTGTTTAGTTTCTTATTAAGTTACTATTGATAGTGAATAAAATGGATGAGAACTTCGTTTTTCGGCACCAGGTAAAGACCTTTTTATTTAAACATCATTTTAATTGTTAAAACATATGATCTGGCCATGGCAAATTCTTCTTCCTTCTCTTTTCTCCTCCTATATTATTTATTTACTTATTTTATACTGATAATTTTAATTTTATATTATTATGTTTGTAACTCAGTGTATTTTTTGTATTTTTGTATTTAATGGTAATTTATTATGTTCTATTGTATTTCAATGTATTTTATTGTGTTGTAAGCCGCCCCGAGGCTTCGGCAAGGGGTGGCATAGAAATGTTATAATAATAATAATAATAATAATAATAATAATATATGAATCATGTGAGCTGTCTTGTTTTTCAGACTTTATTCTTCTGTTAAGTGTCAAACCACATTATACCAATCACAAAAAAGTACTCAAAGTGTTTAAATTGTGAAACTTGAAAGAGTTTAGGCTAACTATTAGACTTGACTTAATGTTTCTGGTACAAAATGTACAGATAAATGACCCAATTCTACTTTTCCAGCAAAGCCATATTGAAAGGCAAGGCAGTTCCCCTCTGGTCACCCCTCTTCCATCTGGATCGTCTACCCTCTTCTGTTCTTCACAGCAACAGTATCATATCCTAGCCAGCAAATGCTTGCTCCCCTCCCTTTGAGAAGGTCTACGAGGTGGCAGTAAGAAGCAGTCGATGGACCACTGCCTTGTCCCCCAGTCTTACCACAATTCTTTGCATGTACCTTCAGGCCAGTTAGGCTTGAGAACCTCTGGATTTTAGCACACCATTCTCCAACTTGTCCCCTGCCAGATGTTTTGGACTTCAGCCCCAGCCAGCATAGCCAGTGGTTAGCGATGTTGGGAGCTGTGGTCTCCATCATCTGAAGGGCAGCAATTTGCAGAAGGCTGTCCTTAATATCTTTATTTTTCCTCATCATTTTCCAGTACAGGAAAGTCCTCTCTCTCCTTCCATTCCCAATATGTTTTTATGATGATGATGGTAAGTATTGGTACTCTGCCCTTCTACCAACAAAATGTCATTTGAGGTAGCTTACAGTCATCACAAATTTTAAAAAATACAAAAACAAGAGTAAAGCGCACAATTGAAAAACAATTAAGCACAACAAAAACAGGAGGAAAAGCGCACAAGCATTCACGGTAATGAGCGGGGATGGGTTTGGATACTATGAATAATCATTTTGCCTATTTCTAATTAGAGTTACTTGGAATCAAGTTCTACTGATTTAAGTGCCCTTCACTTCCTAGCTAGCATTGCTCCCGTCTCTGAATAAGCCAACAGGCAGGTCCTTCAACCATGTTGCCATTCTAGCATCACCCACCTGAATTGCTTGCCATCATTATCCCTTTGCTGGATGAAATGATCTCACGTCCTCTCTGCCAAGTCAGGGGAAACAGCAGCTCCTCCAAAGGAGAGGTGTGGCTCTGAGCTTCACAACTGGTCATCAAACACAGGGCGTAAGGGCTGTGAAGATGCTGCTCCTGTCAAAGCTTTGCATCTCCACTTCTTCACCATTTTTCTCTGCTGGCTGCTGAAGGGGGAAGTTTACCTTACTGCAGAAGTGAAACTGCCCTCCCAGGAGTCTTGTATGCTGCATTGTGTACTGTGGTTTGCAGGGCTTCCTGCCATCAGGGCTGTGATAAAGTTAATGTCCTTGCCGAGAACATGCAAACATGTAGGTAGTGGAAATGTAACACTGCAGGTCTTTGGGCAAAACCGCACCTTGTGATGTTGGATTTCTGACATCCTGATTTTATAGAAGGCTAAATATAGCTGTGGCAGGGCCACATGGGGCTGCAGGCATTTAATGCTTTATGTTTTGTCATTTTCTCTGTCTCAAAGTGCCACACGTTCTACAGGGGTGAATCTGGGAGGGTGTGTAGGCAAACCCAAAGCCAGCCCTGGCAAATATCAACCATGGGATGGGAAAGTGTGCTAGCACTGGAGGCAATGTTTTCCATCCCTTTAGTATCAAAGGGAGGAAAGGTCTAAACAAAGACACTAACAAAGGAGAGGAGACAAAGGTTTACCTTCCTCTCTATGGATTTGGACAGCAGGGCCTTGGATTTGACCAGCCAGCTAGCCAGCTACCATGAATCCTCTCACCGCAGCCCTGTTGCATTGTTCTGCCTCATATCTAGAAGCCAGATACCATGTGAAGCTCCTTATTAAAGTGGTTTGATAATTTGATATAATCACTGCTGAGTGATGTGACTCAGTATTTGTTTACAGAATGGGGGCAATATTGTTTTGGCCTACAATTCTCATCAGCCTTCCAGCTTAGGTATTGGTAAAGGACTGATGAGAGTTCTAGGCCAAAACTTCTGGAAGGCCCTAGGTTAAACTACCTATTTAATTTTCTTCCTCAAAATGTTGGAAGAGAAGTACTTATATTGCTGAGTGTGACAAAATAGCCTTATGTTATTAAACAGATACGCAGTCCAGTAAGTTGCAACTTCTACAGTTACAATGCTGTATATTTGTCTGGTGGACAGTTTCTTCTGGATTATATTTCCTTAAAGGCAATACTTTCCTTATAACCCAACAGGTTTTACACATACACACTCCAAAAACACAGCAAAGAATCACAATCTTAAGAGTGTAAGCAAAGTGGTGACTATGCAGCCAAGTGTTGTGGCCAAGAGACAGACTAATTGCTAGAAGGGGGCATTTTTTCAGTAGCTTCCACAGACCTGCATGAAAACCAAGATTTCTGAGCCTTATATTGAAACAATTCAAACATTAGTGGAAGCTTCTTTAGTTATGGCTGCAAGAAATTGAATAGAGTTGCTAATGCAATAGCCATTTAGATTTACTTTTCGAATGCTTACAGATTTCATTAGTCCTAGAAATCCAACATCTTACATTATTTAATGTGTTTAAAAGAGCCCAAAGACTGAGTGGAACTTTTCCCTTTCATTGAAAAAGATCTTTATCACAGCAATGCAATTTTAATTCCCTGCCTTTCTAGGTGTTCAAAGTCACAATGATTTAGCACCTCCACAATATTATGCCTTGCATTAATACTCTACACTGGAAATGGAATTGGCAAAATATAAATTTAAGAATTCAGTGCCTGCAACATAGTTATCTTACCTTATGTTAAACCACTGGTCTATCTAACTCAGTGACAGCAGTAAATCTCTATCAGTAAAACTTTCTTCTGATAGGCATCTGTCCCCAGTTCTACCTAGAAATGTTTGACATTAAAACTGAGATGGTTTGCTTACAAAGCATGTATTCTACCACTCTTCTGTGGCTCATCATTGAAAGGCTGAACATAAAACATGATAATCTTCCTTATCATGGTGAGAAAGTAGCCCGGAAGATGTGAGTTCTGGCACCTTTTTTTTTTTTTTTTACAAAAAAAAGCACTGGATACAACTAATAAATTAGACAACATTAAATTAAAAGAATCCATAACAAAATATAAAAGTATTAAATTAAATTAAATTAACCAAAAACTTGTTTAAATAAAAAAGTTTTCGCCTGACTCCTAAAAGAAAGAAGAGTTGGCAGCAGTCCTATTATCTACCTTACTTGTATGGGCAAATGCTATTTTTAGGCTTCATTAATAGAAGTATCACTTCCAAATCATGCAAAGGACCAGTTCCGCTTTACTCAGTACTGGTTAGGCCTCATCTGTAGTACTGAAACCAGTGCTGGGCTGCACAGTTTGAGAAAGATGCAAACAAACTCAAAAGGGTTCAGAGGAGGGCAACAAGGATGATTTGGAGACTGGAAACAAGGCACTATGAGGAGAGATCGAAAGAACTGGGCATGCTTAGCTTCAAGTGAAGAAAGCAGAGAATAGATATGATGCCACTCTTCAAAGAACTTGAAAGGCTGTCACAAAGATAAAGCCCAGGATCAGCTCTTCATCATCGTAGAGTACAGGATATGGAATAATGGGCTCAAGTTATACTAAGCCAGATTCTAGCTAGCTATCCAGAAAAGTCTCCTGGCTGTTCGAGCAGTTACAACAATGGAACCCATGACCTAGGAAGGTGGTGGGCTCTCCCACACTAGAGGCATTCAAGATGCACCTGGACAGCCACCTGAGATGAATGCTTTCATGCACTGAGCAGATGCTTGGACCCTCTGCCCCCTTCCAACTCTACTGTTCTATGATCTTGTGATGAGCTTGTTCTGTGTTTCTTCTGAGTGGCCTCTGACTCATTAGTGCATTATGTATTCTCATTATGCATATAGCTTGCTATGGTGTTTCGCTTCACAGTAGACAGCAATCACAATCATTTGAAAGAAAATAGTGATCCATTGAAAAGGAGAAGTAAGATGTCATGTTAGAAGTGCCTCCACTTCTTCTTTTTGTGGTTCCTTCTCTGCTGTGCAGTTATGTTGAGAAATTAATCGCCACTTTCAGGTTGTTACTACCACTGGGTGGAATGTTGTTATATGAGGGACATCAGTCCTAAAAGAGGAGAGACAGTAGGATGCAATGCAGACGATTTGCATATGGGATCACCTATCTGGGATCGTATATCACTTGCGTATTGCTTTGTGGAGCTTGGTGGCTGGTGGCAGCTAGCTGGAAATGTTATCACATACATTTGGTTTGGGTTTGAGGGAAATGATTTAGCAACTTCACAGCAGCCAGTGAAGGAGAAAGAAGTTAGAGGTTTGCAGCTGGATGGTGGGGTGCAGCCTTGGAGATTCAGGATGGGTTTACACACTGTTGCTTTTGGAAAGTGCTTCTGCTTTAAAGGCTGGAATTGTCCATGTGGATTTTGATCTGCTCACTCTACTTGATTTTGTATACTTGAAAATAAGCATAGGAAGCTGCCTTGTAAACCATTGCTTTATCTAGTCCAGTATTGCCTGCTCTGATCTGCAGCAACTCTCTAAGATTTAGAGAAGGAATCTTTCCTAAGCTCCAGCCCTACCTGGAGATGGCAGAATTTGAACCTGGGACAATCTACATTCAGAGCATACACGGTTCAATTCACAAATGGCACAAAAGCCATACTAATCCTCAAATGTGCTCTCCTTCCAAGGAACCTGTCCTTGTAAAAGGCTACACAAAGGGACAGTGAAACAAGACTATTACACGATCATTTTCATAAGTATCCATAGCAGCCAGATTGCCTTAACACTTGTAAAAGGAGCTAACAGTCACAAAGGAGCAAAAGATGCACATTTAGTCTATTGTTCCATTAGATTTACCATCCAGTCCTCTGTGCAGGAAAAATTCTGAGGAAACTTAACTGTAAATTCTACATTCTCTTTCAACCAAATGCTTCTCAGCACTTGGTTGAAAGAGAAATAGAATTACTGAGATACTGACTACAGCAAGCTCTGAAGGACAAGGACTGTCAACCTCTGCATATTTGCTTTCAGCTTTGAGCCTTTAGCTTGGGGGTCAACTACAAATGCCTCACAGGCAGTGTATGAAACCCCTGCTCTTTTTTGCAGGCCCCATCAGCACCACCACTGAATTAGCAGCAATGCCAAACAAAAAAACACAGTTGTTTCTCACCAAAGGAACAATTTTCTTTTAAAATACAGTCTCTGGGGAGCACTCACTTCGTTTTCAAACAATGCCATTCTTCTGGAAGCCTCTTGGTCACCCCACAAACTTCTTGATTGAAAGAAAAATCATGAATGTGTGCCTGGGACATGGAATAGGGATTGTCACTGACATTTCTCCCAACTTCTGCAACTGGCAACAAAAGACAGTGCAGGGCAGCAGTGAGGCCTGCTGGCTCCGGGAGGTTGGCCATCCCTGCTTTAGCACAGTCTGTGAGTCATATTCCAAGGCGTGAGGGGACGGCATATCAAAGTTTTAAATAATAAATAATATTCTTGAACCTATTTCATCCTTCATGAGAAATAGATACTTGGATTTAACAACTTTATGATTCATGCTCAGGAACATTTATAAATTAAATACACTGAGATTTTTATTAATGCCTTCCTGGAATACCTGTTTTACCCTGCATTGCTTGCAATGGACTGCCGCTTCTGACTGTTTTATTTTATTCGTTTAATTATGTTCCTTTTTATTAGATTTATATAGACATTTAGGAATGAGTTTCTAATTATATGATGTCCTAACAGCTATAGACATTGATAAATCAGTACAGCTTTACACACATGATTTTCTTAGCTCGTGTCACATGAAGAGCAAGCAGTTCAGGGCATGAAGACCACCTGAATTGGAAGGTGCATCAACAGTGTGTCTGTTCCACACCATGATCTCTTCGTGTATGTTGGCTCCTTGGACCAGTCTTCCGCTGCTCGGTTTTTCTTGACATTGGCCTGACCTAGTCTGTGCAAGACCACAAGAAGCAACTGCAAAGGGAGGATCTTGCTTGATCAGACTAAAGCTCTAGCTACTCAGCATTCTCTCTTGCGACAGGGTTAGCAGTGCCTCTGGGACTGCTCAGGCGAGGACACATGATG